AGCTCTCTGCATGTGTGAGACCCTCAGGAAATTGCTTCGCCAATTGTCACCTACTCATTTAAAGTCAGATCTTTGGGAAGAGGGGAAAGAAACTGAAATGAGACCTTAGGGCAACACAGATTTTATTGACTGAGTCTTTGGGGGGCCACGGACAGGTGCCTGATGAACTTCAAATCATATCCTTTAAATTTCTAAAACTTTTATGAATTCATGCATAAATTACAGTGCAGCTTGCATACCAAAGAGAGATGATCTTTCTTCTTAAAGCAGATGTTTCCCGAATTAAACATACACACACACACACACACACACACACACACAAAGAAAAACTTTAGTTATCAATCCCTGAAGAGATTTTGATTTAACCATAGTGAGGTGAAAGATTAAAAAGTAGATATTAAGTCTTAGCTCTCCCCAAGGGTAATTCCACAGAGTCCTGTACGAATAGGTATTTTTTTTTTTTTTTGGAGTAAAGTCCTTTTCTAAGGGTGAGCATTAACAAGGAAGGCTTGCAAAGCCCACAGGCCCAATTTAGACCCCAAATGAAACGGGCAGCTCATGTCAACAGGGAGACTTCACAGTAGTTCCTTTTAGCTTCAGGAATGCCTCGAAGGACAAAGGAACTCACCCAACCATAAAACCTTTCCAGTCTTCTCTGGAGAAAAAGGTGAAAAAGAAAAGCAAATCTAAAATAGTCTTATTGGGGGATGGGGGTGCTGTTGCTAAAAAGAAGTTTAAGGATTGAAATAAATTTTAGCAACACGGGAGAGTTGGGAATACACGAAGAAAAAAGGGCAGTGCAAAGGGAGGGGGAAACAGAAGACAGGGAATCAAACCATCTGCCCACAGAATTACCTCTTTGATTCCAAGGCCTAATGTTTAAGCTGTACTTTTTGACCTTATGTTTCAAATATTCCTAGGCCACACCAGGCTGCAGCTTGGGAACTAGTTAACCCCAGTGACTTCAGTCTGGAACCAACAGAACTGAGATGATTTATGTCCTGGGGTGCACATAAAGGAAACCACCTGTATCATGGATCTCCCCCCCAAGAATCTTATCATGTATTTATCAGATTTGGATCTCTGTGGCCTTATCTTAGCAGCTCCTCCTTTCCCTGTGCCAAGATCTCTTCTGTGAGGGCTTTAAAAATAAAATTCTTTTAAAGTAGAACAGCAACACATACCCACTTTTTAAAGTCTTCAAAATGCAAATTATCAAATTTCCCATGAGCTCATATGTCACTTCTTCCGGAGGGCCTTTGATTCCCACCCCCAACCTCATCTGCATTGCATTTCAGTAACCTCTAACCCCTTCTAAACACCCCCAGGAGCGTGTCTTGTGGTATTTACACAGAGTAGGCATCCAGTGCAGATTTGCTGACGGGAACTTGACTCATTCTCATTCTGGGAGCATGACACAGCGATCTGATGTACCTCAGCTGTGGGCAACAGAGAACTCTTCTGCAGCCAGACCACATGGGCTCACATGATTCCCCAGGAGCTTCGAAACAGAGTAGTGGAACAAAGCACTGTTTTTAAGAAACTTTATTCTAACAATACTGTTTTCATTTTTGATCGACATACAATACAGGTCTTAATGCAGGTGAGGCTAGCGTCAATGTGTGAAATACTTCATATTTATAAAAGGCTTTAGATATTCAAGGATTTGTGTGCAGAACATTGCTCTGAATATATTTTTGACACCCTGCTAAATACTCAATCCAAGATAAAGTATGGGAGATTTTATTTTATAAAACAATGTCCAAATTTTTCCAGAATCTATTTCAAGGATTGTATAATAAGTTTATGGAAAATCACTACCTATTTTTGTATCTACCACTAGATTTCTATTGTATTTTTCAGTGCTTTCATATGCTTATTTCTGAAAGATGGTGATTATACTTATTTAATTGGTCATTCATAAGCACCACTAATATCAATAGAAAACATCAGGAAAAAATTATACTTGAGCATATTTCTTGGGCATATTTCATGCTGGCTTTAAAGCCATCTTGACTTGAACATAAAATGTCTAGACCTATTTATATAAACTTAGCTTTTCTGCCTTCATCCTCCCCCATCCTCCAAGACACTTTCAATCCTCCCATTTTTCTGACTCTCCTATCTGGAACTCTGCAACAAAACACCTTTTGTACAATTCTTTAAGGGTAAACAATCTCCAAGTAGGGATAGTGTTCAACTGTCATTTTACTTCCATTTTATGCTTTCATTTCTGGCCTGTTGACATAGGATGTCCAATGAATTCTTCCGTCTTCCAGAACATCTAAAATTTTGTCTCTACCCCTTCTATAGATTTTCTCGCTTGCAAGTGTAAGAGACACAGAAAATATAGTAGGAAGAGGATTGGGGAGGGGGTTTGTATAGAGACATACTGCTGATACTCAATTTAAGTTTTGATGTGGGCCTTAAGTTATTGTCTATTGAGAAAATATAGAAAATGAGACACACTTCATATCCCTGCAATGATACATCTTAAGAAATAGCTCCCTTTGATCAAGAAAGTTGTTCTTTAGGAAACTGTAGATCATGAAGGTAAATTCAGAGATACTCAAAATGAGCAGTGTACTCTTATTTCCAAGTGACCTTCACTTCAGCACTTCTCTTCTTGGGTTCATGAACTTCAATAATTTTTTGATTTGTGAAGAGGCAATATATGAAAAATAAAAACTTGTGCATACTTAGAATCACTTTTGCAGGCTCTACTGAAATAATCATAGATGAAATCTTTCTAGAATATGAGTATCTCCTGGGGTTTCAGTATAGCACGGAGAAAATGAGTGTAATTCGGATAAAACAGGAATTGGGAAAATGCTGGTATTTCAAGCTGAGTGATGGAAACCTGGATTTGATAAACTAAAACTCTTTATTTTTATACATATTTGAAAATTTCTCTAATTCTACAAAGATAAAAAGTTTAAAATTGATTAATAAGCTTGTCTTTTCTAGTATAAATTTTCAGTATCTATGGAATAGTTCTGTTTTAGCTCACTCACTATTGGTACGAACTCTATTTTTCCTCTTACCCTTCGAAGAGATTTCATGTTCTGTTCAAAGAGAAGGGTACAATCTTATAATACATGTAGAACCATATATAATCATGTAGTCATTTCATAACAGAAATTACCCTTATATGGACCTCTCTCACAAATTTTACAGTAATGAAAAGGGTGCTTATTATGTAAAAGCATGAGCTGATGTGAATTTCAACTGTTGAGTTTCCACATCATAAGTCTCCTGAAAAATCTTACTCCTAAAGCACCAGGGCCATTCAAAATTTTGAAAAGGTGGTTGTACTCAGTATCTTTTCTGAATATGCATAAGAAACATGCTAATCTTATAGTTGGAATAAAAATACAATTATAATCAGCATTTAATTACGAGCCCCAGGCCAACATTTTCCCTATATTCTCTCTTCAGTCCCATAGAAGTGAAATGAAGCTACCATCATTTATATTGAGTGTGGTTGTGGGAAGCTAAACATCAATGGTACACGAGTGGATACAGAACTTGAAATGCAGCCTGTCCAAATGCAAAGCCCATTTGATAACACAATGTATGTTTGTGTGCATGTATAGTTTCCAAAGGATTAAAAAAATAACAATAATCATCACCAAAAAACCTGAGAATACTGTATTCAGCAAATTTTAGGTCTGAATTATTATATAAATAAGTTATGGTCTTAATGACATCATATCCTTAGTTTAATTATACTTCATATGTCTCTTCCTAGAGAGGTGCCCCAAAGGCTCTTGTCCCAAGTGGAAGATTGAAGCCTCTTCTTCTTCTGCTGGACTCCACCATACACATTAGGGGAAAGACAACCAATGATCTCACACAATGGTGAATTCTCAAATAGTGTAGGTAGGGGGAGACGATTATGAGATATCCTAAATAGATAAAATAATCTCTCACTTTTATTATTGTTCCTAATGTTTTTAGTGGGTATGGTACATGGAAGGAATACACTCTATGATCGGTAGTATAAACATAAAAAGAAATGTATTTGAATAATATCTTTAAAATATTTCAAATTTTTATTAAATATTTTTATTCAGTTTTAAGATCACAGTTAAAGTACTTTAGCATGTTATACACATGACTTACATGTGCAATTTTTAGAAATATCAAATTAGGTATAAGATTTTGAAGAAAGAAATTATATAAATGTGTATATTGACTTTTACTACACATACATCTAAGAAAGCAATAATTCTGTTGTACCATTAAGTGGAAATCATTTATTACATGGCATGTTTACACCAACTCTAAAGAGAACCAAGCCAATTTCTGAAAGCAAAAAAATGAGCGATTCAGTCATGCTGAAACTGTCAACAGACTTAAGACCTGGTGGTCAAATGAAACTATGGTTAATTTATGACATGTAAGTAAGCAATTCAAACCTATGAGAAAAGTTCATAATCTGGTATGTGGAATCTCAGGCAGTTTTTATTCTTTTTGACAAATTCCTGAGAGGAAGAAATGTGGTTAGAACTAAAGAAATGGGGGGGTGGGGAGAAAAAAGAAAAATGCTGCTGAGCAAGTTACTGAGCTGTAGATGGCAAACCTTCCCTACCCTCAGTTCTGCCGCTTTTAGAGCCGAGGCACTAATGTGAGGTGTCAGGGGACATGAGCTCACTCCTCTAGTGGGTCAAAAAGAGTCAGTGATAATTCATGAAGCATGCTTGTCTCTGATTTAGGTTAGAGCTTGTGAGGTAAGATTTGCATTGCGGGCAGAAGGGTTTGGAGGCATTCAATTAGATCCTTGCTACTCAGTAACCAGTTCTGGCCCAAGCTGTCAGGAAATCTTTGGAAGGAGTAATAATGTTCGAGATAAGTTCTGTGCATAAAAATCAGTTTGAGGGCATCATCAGTTTTGACCACTGACTGCCAAAAAACCAAAAACAACCAACCAAAACCCAAACCAAAAAGACATCCAAAACCTAGTGGCCAAAGAACTTTTAACTAAAAGGTTTTGTCTCTCAATGTATGTTGGTATAAATCATACCAACACGAATGAAATTTGGCCAGAAGAAACTTTTTTTTTTTTTAAAAAAGGAAAATGCATACATATTTGAAGAAACTGGGAGCACAAGAAGATGGGAGATGTCTACAGAAATCAAATATGTCTGTTTTGTTATTCACTCTTCTGCTGCTTCTTTGTTCAGAAATGTAAGATAATGTCCTTAGCAAAAAGGACAAAAGTCATCTAATATGTGGTATAATAAATTTAGCTATCACTATCAATTTTTTAAAGCAAAACAGCCCATCAAACCCTGAATACTTCACCAGACACATCTGGTAAGATGAACTGAATAACTGCTTCTTTTTTTTTTAGTATATGTTATGCTGTTAGTCAATCTAAATATGACAATTTTTTAAAAAATCCTAAAACTCAAATAAAATGAAGTCCAAATCTAATTCTTTGGGAATGCCTGCATAAACAAAGCAACATCTAATTAGCAATTAGTATATTTTGCATAAGGTGCAAAACAAAGAGCTATGTGGGGAAAAGCTAAATTTTCACTTTCACCTAGCAGTCACTCTGAATACTTTATAGGTCAAATGTAATAGCATTTGCTTCTACTGCCCATTTTCAGCAATACATTGTTCTCTCTGGAGAAGGTGGTTTGTGAAGTCAAAACACTGCAGTGGAAAATAGTGGCACTGAAGGTAGAAGCAAAAAAAAAGACAAACTTTTGAAACAGGACTTACTGAAATTAACTTTTAAAGCCGAGGTAGCCCATTAGGATTGGCCTTACATGAGGGCTCTGTGGAGCAGTGCAATCAGAGGTGAATCTCCTCAACAGCATCATATACACCCCAATATTCCCTTCACAAATGATGGCTTCAGGCCTCCAGATTTCCTTCCTTGTCCCCGATGCTGTGGTTGGTGCTTCTCTTTTGTCAAATGGATGCTGTCCTCCAGCTTCTAGCGGCTGGTCTTCAGAACACTTAGCTTCATACAGTAGTTTAGCAGGCAGCATGGTCCCACTGCTTCACATTAACGCCAAATGCCAAGCTTGGAACAGAGCTAGTAGGTACTCCTTACCCCACCCACCCTATAAACAAAACGTCACTCAGTTTTCAGCTAATTCCTGTTCCATAGCAATTCATAATTTGTTAAAGATTTGACATAGGTACAAACACTTCCATACATTGAGCCAAAGACAGCAGAGTGCAAACACATTTTTATATGACTTAGAGTAGCATCTGACTTAATAAGAAAAGGACAGGGATTGAAGATGTCAAATTCTAAACAACCAGACCAGTTCAGATGCGCCTTTTTTCCCCATAGTGTTCCAACTATTTTTCTCTCCACTAATTATAGTGTCAGGAACCAGAATAACAATGATAGGATGGGAATTACTGGCATGGCATTGGGGCATCATCTTGACAGAATTAAATTATTTCTGGCATTTGTGGGAAATGGGATGTCATAATTACAATAGTATAATTTTATCTTCAAAAAGGATTTACTGAAGAGTTTTGATTTAAAATCTGGGAATTGACCTAATTTGGGGACAAGAACCTGTATTTCCAATGTGGCTATGGGACATTTTCCTTTTCCTGATCTCGAATACAGTACCCAAACAAATAAAAACTTCAAGGATGTCTTACAGTATTTTTTTTCTTTCACTCAGCTTCTTAGAGCTGCAGTTTCAGTTACTATAATATACTCTACACACTTCAAAATTACATAGGAAATACCAGAATAACTAAATAAATAAAAAGCTAGAGAAAACTGGAACAGTACTACGTCTCCATCTGAGACGAAATATTCCACTTCCAGCATTGCAGAGAAGGGCTAGGACAATTTTTTTTTTTCAAAAGATTTATATACAGGTTTGAATCCAGAAATTAAGGTTAAAAGCATAAATATTGATAATTTCAACTAAATTCAGAATGGTTTCAGAAAGATATGATACAACGATTTAGAATAAAACAAAGCAGAAGAGCATCATATTTTGGTTTGCTTGAGATATACATAAGGTGCAACAACTTTTTTCTTGATGCTGTGGGACAGATGTTAGTGTAGATGGTGTTTGCTGGCAGATTAAAGTACATACCATAGCAATATGATTTTCCAAAATAAAGAAGAATGAGAGAATGAAGTGAAAATGATAATGGGGGGGCACTACATACTGGTCTGAAATACTTGTGCTGACAAATGTTACCTGAAAATACCAACACCCCTCTCCAACAGATTAAGGGCATGAGAAGCACTACCACTGGAATCAAAACCTCTCAGAGAAACAAGGCAAGTGCCTAAAGAACTATAAAGCTTTGCAGGATTTCTGCTACTCTCAGTGCCTAACCGCTTAAAAATTAAGCATTTCTACAAAAAGGTTTGTTTTAAAGTATCTGAAAACAGTCATATCCAGGAAGTTGTCTCCCCTCTCCCACCCCTGCCTAAGGGAAAAGCCACTGAGGTTTTAGGAAAAGCAGATCAAGTAAGATATTAATCACATAGAAAAAAGTAATCTTCTGTTTTGCTTCTTTTTAAAAAAAGGTCCCATGAATATACAGCAATCTCTTAAGGAACTCTAGTGAAATGTAATCGGAGGACTGAAGGAGGGTGCTCTGGCAAGACTAGATCTATTCTAATGTGTTCTACAGAGTGACAAGTTAGTACCATTGTCAAGATGCATGTTCTGCACCACACAACTTTTGTTGTTGGTTTTTTTTTGTTTTGTTTTGGTTTTTTTGGATTTCAGCTAATTATAATTTTTAAATCACTGCTAGCAAGTGGTCCAAAACTCCAACAGCCACCAACATCAGGACCCAGCAATTTTCAAACATTCACTTTTTGCTTTGAAATTTAGAAAATATTAATAAAACTGTATCATAGTAAAAACAGTTTGCTAAAATCTGGGACTATTCCCTTGATGTTTCTATGTGAATGGGGGTAAGCTATAACCACGGATAAATCTTCTACTAATTCCTGCCTCCTCCATCTCCACAATGAAGATGCAATTTTGAGAACATCATTGCAATGCTCTGCTGCCCTCTTTCCTGCTTTGAAAAAAAAAAAGAGAGAGAGTACAAACCCTCTTCAGTTTTTCCAATCCTGTTAGTTTATGTTGTACATATTTTCCAGCACCGAAACTGAAGTAATATCTACAACCATGAGAAGCTAAACCTAGTCAATATTAATAGAGTCATTTTTATATGGCTATTAGGTCAAATTACAATTAGAAAAAAAAGTCATCATTACAATTCAGTCAAGTATAAATAAGAAAGCTAGATAAAACCATGTAAACTGTCACCATTTAGAGATCTAACTCAAAAGCTTCAAACTCGAACTAGAACTATCAAAACTCCACCAGTTTGAAAACCTTTAAAAATTATTGCTGGAATCCAATAATCAAAATTTGGTAGTTTGTGCTGTGATGCAAAAGTGGGGAAATACTTTGTGCTATGGAACAAATACCCTGTAAAATCTGTAGCCTCAGACTAATTTTGATTTATCACTTTGCATCTGTTGCTAGGAAACAAGACACTGTGAAAGTCAGGTGGTTAAGTCAATATGTTCAATGTTCTAAGCCAGTTAATCCACTTGGCACTGGCATATGTATGGTTGGTTTTATGTTTAAAAGCAACAAAACACAAAAAGGAAACAGAACTTGCAGGTGGATCTATGACTGAGAGGCCCACCTCAGGTATACCTCCCCTATCATGTACTCAATACCTCCTAAACAGCAAGCTTGAAATGACTCTAAAAACCTGCAGTGCCAATTAGGTTGTGCATAGCAATTACAACATGTCCAGTCTGTCTGTGATGGATGTGAAAGGTCTGTAGCTCCAAGTCCACATGAAGTGAATGTCTTCAATGTGTTTAGAATAGTGAAGTAATACTAAGGTCACTTCTGAATAATATTTTTGTCTTTTTTTGTTTGTTTGTTTGTATGAACGATTCATTGGTCACTTAGACCCCTGTGTAAAAATAAAAGAATCCTCAAGGCATGAAAACATCAGTAATCTGTAATCTGCAGGACTCTTCCCCTGTCTGGGAAAATATTTGCCACAATTTGCCCCAAGCAAATTCTTCTTGGTCACTCAAGGCTAAGAAAAAAATTCAGATTGTAAGAATTGTAATTTTCTCTCTCTCTCTCTCTCTCTCTCTCACTCTCTCTCTCACTCTCTTTTTGCCAGCAAACTATCACTCTGGTGGCAAATATAAAAGTGCAGAATATATGGACCACGAGGCCGAGCATACACCGCTAACAATGGTACATCTGCCTGCCCATGCTGCTTGGGAGTCTCTGGAACAGGCTTTTTAATATTTATTCTACAATATAAATGTAGGTATAACCTATTATATAAACCATCTTAGAACTTAAATCTCCATGTACAAAAAAGACTAAGAATATCTAATAATAACTAGTGCAGTGCGTCAGTTTTTTTTTTGTTTGTTTTTTGTTTTGTTTTGAAAGAATAACTAGGTAATATATGAAACTAGTTTCACACTCTCTGGTTGGTAAAAGAGATGCTGGATGAGCTACAGTAAAGGCAGCCTTTTACCAAGTCACCACCTATTACTGTCAAAAGCCTTCAATGGAAAGCAAAGCTCCAGGATCATTCTGTTTCTGTTCAGTATCAGATAACATCACCCTTAAAGATTCTGGGTTCCAAAAGAACAAACTGGCCCAGGATGCTAACTTCTGCTTCAAGTGAGTCTGGGCCTTGTAGGGCAACAAGCACTTGTTTGCAGTCTATATTTTCCACCACATGGACTCACTAGCATCCCTTGGTAAAGACAAGGCTAGGGTAGTAGGTAAAGCACAATGTTTTACAATTAAAGGGCGCTTCACTGGTCAGCGCAAGAAATAAGTACAGGAGCCTGTGGCATTTCTTTTGGCTGTCCATCATGGGTGAGCGGAGTTGACCTCTGACCTCTGTAAAACAAGAAGGAAAAAATGACTTATTCAGGGTATATTATCTGCGAAAGGAGAGGATGATTAATAATAAAAACTTTCCAGTATCTCAATAGCTGCTATTCTTACTTATGTCATTTAATTAAAACCAATTTTGTCCTTAGAATTTTCTCTTCCTTTCTTTCCCTCTTTCTTTTCTCCTTACAGTCCTAAAATTTCTTATCTCAATTTCCCTTTGGCCCCAAATAACTAACTACTTCCATTTTGTAGAGATAACACTGAAACTCCCACAAATTTGAGGCAACTCACTATGAGGTGGTCATTTTTCATTCAAGGATTGATATTCTGGGACAATACTCTTTCTTTTGATCCATGGATAGTAAAAGTGACACATTCCTTTCCTGTAGTAATTGGCAACCTCTAGGCTCATTTCTTAAGATCCATTGTAATACACTCAGTTTAAAACTGAAGGCCAATAAAAGCAATGACTTTAGAAGAGGAAGAGAGATGGACTATGACTTTAAAAAAAAAGGAACAAAATAAATAATGAAGAAAAAGGAGAAACCTCTTATATAGAAGAAGCCTCTCAAGTACATAGAGAGAGAGAAGTACAAGGGAAGGAAGCAAGTACTGATTCTGGATTTTGGCTGTAAGAAAATCCAGCCTACTTGGACCCAAATTGATATATGGGGGGGGGGGACTCCACACAAGACTAGAAAATTCATAGAAATTTTCATCATTTTGATTGGAACTGTGTAGAAAATAGCTGATTTTTCATTCACTGTTCGTATAATTAGTAGTTAAAAATACAAATTATTTCATGGTTATGAGAAAACTATTCAAAATTCCTGGCAATTTCTACAGAGCCTCTCATTTTATGATAGGATTAGGGCCTCCTGACATTTGCCCACAGGCCTAACAAGCCTAGACAATGCAAACTCCTGGCTCTGTCTCCTATACCAGTCTGTGGTACGTGACCCTACATGGAAAACAGGTGGGGAAGCAGCAATGTTTTCACTGGTTTGACCTTTCAGTATAGTACTCTCCTTCAGAGTATGTAGAACAAAAGGGGCTATTTTAAGAATCAGGTAATATTTGCTCCATAACTGTATCCAGGTTTCACCTGATGTACAAAAAAGGAAAACAATTAGATAAATCACAACATTTGGGGCCTTCTGAACTCAACAATTTCTGAATAGTACAAGATATTTAGGATTTCAGAAAAACAAAACATGTGTTAGAATCAAACCTCTGGATTAATCTGTTCATTCAAGTATGGCTGCTGTAAGCACCAACTGTTCAATATGTTCAGCTTTTTCTGCAAGAAAGATGAAACTAAAATGCTATTTTTTACCTTCAAGATCATGTAATAATAAACATTTCAGAAGTATTTTAGTAAGTACTGGAAAAAGAAAAAAGTGAAAGATGAAAAGTACAATGTAAAGAAAAAGGCAAGAAGGAGAGAGGTTGGGGTGAAGTCCAGCTCAATCAATGGAAAAAGGAAAGGAGTCAGGATTGGAGCAGCGCTGCCGCTAATGGATGGCATCTAGGACATGACTGAAGTCTGCTCACGCCACATGCTAGAGGAAATGGAACACAGGATCTGGAGTTCAAGACCTCACTGCAAATCATGACTCAGCTGTGAATCAGCTCTGTGTTCTTGACAAGTTCATTAACCATCTGCACCAACATTAAAATTGGACTAATAAGATAGTCCTGGGAGGGCTGGTTTAAGAATGATATTTAATGAGCTTTCTTCCTTGAAAACACCTAATAAATAAATAATCTCTCAACAAAGGTTTGCCCAACCCCCTATTTCCTGTATTTTATAAAATTGGTCTAAAGTGGGTTTCAAAACTTAACATTAGATTTTTCCTGGCAAGCGTACAGGTAATGTATTTCTACACCTAGTTCTGTGGGCTACCCACCCTGTGAATTAGGAACCCAGGTTAAGTAATAATTAAATGGTGTGCAACTCAGCTACAATTACATTAAGCCTAGACATAGAAGATTGGCTGGTTGGTCTGTTTTAGGAAAAAAAAAAAAGGGCCAAAGTTACAACTGGGATTTCCTAGGATGATCTTTCTAGATATTAAGAACTCTAACCATTTGTTAGGTTGATGGTAAATTTCTAGTAATCATTTTCATCCTTTTTTATGGGAAGTTAACAACAACAAAAAGAACCTTTACCTCTATTTTCATCATTATATCTATGCCTGCTACCTAACTTTGTCAGTTAGATTTCAAGAACTACCTAATTTGTTCATTCACCCATTGGTGTAAGAGAAGCTGTCTAAGCAAGCTGGGGCATGAAGAATAAAACCGGTGCTTTCCTTTCAAAATATACTGAAACGAGACAGAAGCATCAACAAATAATTGCAACCCAATGTGGCAGCTGTTCTCAGGCAGGAAGTACACAGAGTGAGCGGCAGCATGGAAGATGCAGCAGGAGCAGCAGGCAGGCTGAGAGAAGAGGATCAGGCGTGGGAGGTGGAAGGAGCAGCAGCCATTCACCTGAGAGGAGGATGAACAAAGGCAAGAACTTGGCTAATCTGGAAAGGAGCAAGAGTGTGTGTTAATGCAGGGCAGGGTGTAGAGGCACTAGAGAGATGAGAATGGAAAGGCTTGTTTCTACTTTCTACCTTTAAAAACTGGGAATCATGGAAGGCTGGTTAGCAGAGTGATGGTGTGATCACAGTCATGTTTGGAGAGAACTTAGGGAGCAATGAGGGTGACTGGGTGATGACATTTTCTGAGCCCTAAATTATGACACTCCTTTGAATTCTTATTCTACCTACCTACTTCCATAATTCACAGGGACACTTAGCAACATTCAGGCAGGCATTAAAAATTCTCTTTGCACGTCATGCGTTTGTCTTCTATACTCAACTGTAAAATTCCACAAGTGGAGAAGTGCCTCTCTCAGAGACCCAAGCACATTTAACAATGTCTGTCAGCAGTCTCTTGCTAATGGGAATTTGCAGTGTACACATGAAAGGATATCTGACGTCTTGGAATATCTAAAGCTACTTGTGAGCAAGCACTTGACCTAGAACATGACAGGTAAAAGGCAAGAAGGAAACCAAGTTCACAGAGCGGCCTATGGGTTTACCTGAAAATGAGAAAGGAGCCTGAGGTCCTACAGGCAGCTATCCAGAGTGTGCTGGGTTTCAAGCACTTTTTACGAAAGTCCACGAAAATAACTTCTGATTACCCACAGATAAAATTCAGTATGAAATACCAGAATTTACAAAAGCCTTTTTTTAATTTTTTGCCTTCCCAAAGGACCTATTAAGTAGCAGAATACTCAATTATACACTTAGAAGTTAGTACACTTCCTGTGGGCCTTCACTGAGTTCAAAGGGTTTTCACAACTATGATTTCCTCTGATCCTTAGAACTTTTGCAATTCTTTGGAGATATATCATTATGCTCAATGTAAAATGAAAAAACTGAAATGCAGAGAATAAATTACTCTGTAGTAGATCACAGAGAGTTGAAGAAAATTCCAGGTCTCCTGCCTGCCATGAGTCAGTTGCCAAAACACTCATTCCCCTAAACTGTACTGTTGTGATGGCTGGCCACCACTGCTGCTAGCACCTTCTTCCGTAGGGGTGTCCCCACATGAGCACTGTGTCATTCCACACAGTATCTCAATGAAATGAGTGCTTCCCACCCTCATTTTATAAAAGAAAACATTGAATGAAGACAGGTTAATGATCTTGCTCAAGATCTCTGTTTTCAGAGACTGAGGATTTAAAGCCCTGTCTGTGATCTCACACTTAAAGGTTAAATGGTACTGCTTCCCTGCTCTCAAGTTTTTATGGAAATCCAGATTAGCCCCATAGGATAATATATTCAAAATGAAATACTTAGCTGGCGATATTTTCTTACATTTTCCCCATACTGTAAACTAGCACATAAACTTTTGTAACACCTCACATAAACAATAATGCTCCTGAACTACTCTGAACTCCACTACATACTAAAAATTGCCACAAATCACTTGAGAAAGGTCGATCTGGTTTCCATATTTTTTCCTCCATCTAAGTCACACCACTGACCTGTGCACATTCTCCATGGCTGCCACTTCGGCCAGTGCAGCGAGGCTGAAGAAGGCAGACACAGCAGGCATCTCTGGAGTGCTGCTCCGTGTCTCCTCAGCCTCAGTGTTGTGTGAGCACTCATCACTGCAGTCTGTCTCAGTTGCTTTAGGGAGACTCCTCTGCAGTTGCTCCTTTGGTTTGTCATCTGTAACAAAAGCGAAATCCATCATAAGAGGATCATTCTGCTCTCCAGAGAAGGAACACTAAGGAAATGTGCCAGAGAATGAAAAGAGCTAGGTTTCTTTACTATTCACTTCAGCTATTCATTGCATATTATGAGTTTCACAGAATCTCTTCTTCCACAGTGACAAAGCACTTTTATTAAACTCAGATGCACCCTGGAATTATGGACACTGAAGCTGAGCTGAAGACAAGCTGTTTTATTCAAAGTCAAAGAATGGGTCAGTCTTGGAGGAAAGAGGAAAAATGAACCTTGACCAAAATAAAACCCAAGGGACTTCAGCCACTGGACCCTTAAAACCCAAGCTGACTAAACATTTCTCATGAATTTTCATGAAGCTGTAGGGTGACCTACCATGGCAACTTGGACATTTGATGTGCTGTGATATTAACACTTAGGATAGGCTAACCAGATAGGCTAACTATCAGATTAATCAATCCTAATGAGATCCCATGTTGTTGTTTTGTTCTAAAGACCTACTGGAGGGAAGATATGAGGTCGTCTGGTATTTATGAAGAGGTAGATGAAATGCTATGCTAATATACCTGCTAGAAATGAGAATATTTTCTTTATTATGTAGACATTACAGAGGAGGGGGAATTTTCATTATGAGTTTTAAAAGATTTTAAATATAGAAAACAAGTAATAAAAGATGTGAATGTCATATATTAGGGTATAAAGCTGGTATAGTGTTTTGCTACATAAAAGGGAGTGTTTTCTAGAATCCTTATTTCTTCCTACAAGTGAAAATTAACAATCTATAAAATGAAAGTCTCAGAACAGAACACAGATTGAAAAGGTGAGGAGAGAGGGATCAGCTGGACTAAACATCAAGATATCAAGATTTATATCCTCATCCCACTTCTACTCAGTTGAATGTTTTCAGCACAAAATTCCACCTCTTCAAAGAGTTGAATTCAATTCAGCGTCTTTAACATACTTTATGGTTCTAACAGTCAATTTGTGCAAAATTAAAAAAAAAAAAAGGTACCCCCAAATTAACTTTGTCTTCCAATTCTAACTCAGCAAACAGTTTAAACTGTTTCTATGAACACCTAGATTGATCCAAATCAGGTAAAATGAAATTCTGGAGATGTCAAAAACCAAAGATCACTAATGTCCAGATGATACAGCATCCCCAAGAACTTTTGGGGAGATGCTATTATTCACTGTTCTATCCCTTTGCACTGGGTCCCTCAGGTAATTCTATTGCCATGGAGGCCACCAGGACCAATAAAGACAGACTCAAGTCCTGACTGAAAATGGGGCAATTTTACTATTTGGGTAGATAAGACAAGAAATTCATGCATTCTCAGGTTTCCTTTCAGCTCTACAGAAAATAAGGATGTTTTCCAAGGTACCTAATCCACTGGTTTGAATGCCTGATAATCTAGTTTGCAGTGACATGAATACCAGACCATGGAATAACACAGATTCATCTAGTACCTTTAAAAGTCTAGGCTATTCTGGAGTTTACTTCATCAAGACTGTTTTTGTGCATGCTTTTAAAAAAAAAAAAAAAGAGGAAGGAGCTAACAGTCCTAAATTTACCTTTCTTTTCTAGGAATTCAAATATGCTCTTGGAAAATAGGTATGATTTTTTTAAAGTGTGGAATAAGACATGTTTGAAAGTCTATATAAAGCTAGAGAACAGTCCATTTTTCAATGAGAAGCCACCATTGGCTTATAGTCATTTGCTGGCCAATGAGACTCTGGACATCTCTGCCTAGAGCTCCCTCTTCTTACCCAAAGTACCTCCTGCTGGTGATACCCGGCCGTCTGCTGTCCTGACAAGGTGTGTGATCTTGGTTTTCCTTGCTTTTCTCTTTTGGCTGCCCACCAAAGGTTCTTGCATTGTTGTTGGCTCTGGAGTGTTGGGAATGGATGAGACATTTTTAACCTTATAAACAGGCTCTGTGGTGTTTTTGTCTTCTGAAAATATGGCTGAAACAAGACAAACCATACATAGTTACACACAAAACACAAGATATTGACATTATTCTTGGAAGGAAACATTTCTGAATTTCAGACCTATCTGAATAGGGAATTTATAGTCAGAGTTTTCAGACTATTGATGGAAAAATTTTAAAACAAACATTTCTATAATGTTTACTACTTATGTGTACTTCTTCTGATAAATAATGGGCAGAGTATGAAGATACCTTCTCTTTTAACATTTTCTAAGTCTTTGAATCTTGCAAGTTGGTAGGGAGGATAATGTATATAAATCTGTATCTCAATAGACCCCAAGTCCTAGCTATGATCAGGGTTCCATGCTTCATAAATTTACATTGATGGTTGGGACATTTGCTTCTAAGCACCAGGCTGGACTGAGAAAAGAATCTGTGAGAACTGACCTCCTTTTATGCACATTGACTCTCATTAAGGACAGGACAAACACTTGTGAAGTGAGTACACATAAAACCCTCCATTCACCAAGTTCTAGGACAAGGTGAGTGAGGTAATTTAATTAAGTCTCACATGCTGACAGAGAGACTAGTTGTAGGTACACTCACGGTAAAACTAATAAATAATTTAATAGCACACTCTTGTATCCTGAGTCACTATATCAAGAGTAAAGAACACACTTGCAATTAAAGCCTTTATCTCTGGCTTAAATTTGATAAGAATACTTGTGTTTTATATACTTGTTTCCTTTGGAGTTCATCATTCTCATCCCTTCAATTCAAAAGTAAAAAAGAATATGCAGATATGAGTTCAGTTCATTTATGAGTATATACATGTACACAAGTGCTATGATTGAGATTTCTTTTTTTTTCCATTCCTGCAGCCAAAGCATTTTTAGGCAGGGAAAACAGGTCTGGCCCCCACCCCCCTACTTTGTAACCATCCAATCTCTTAAAACAGACATAGAAATTATTTTTTAAAAGAGGGGACTATGGATCAGAAAATCAAGGTCTGACAAAACAAACTTAAAGCAAAGGAAACCTGATGAATAATCTGAATAATCGAAGATATTTATGTCAGAAGGTGGATCTAAAGGTAGACACTAGAATAAAGAAATGCATAAAACATAAAAATGAAGAACAGCTAAAATAAGAGGAAAATGGAGCAAGATTAGCTTAGGGTGTGAAAAAAAACACACTTGTTGGTGCACAGGCCTCCTATAAGATTTTTAATTTAGCTCTCTAATGGGCTTAGGAGATGGGAAAACAGGCTATGAATTAATAAGTCCTTTGCCCTGGAAATCATGATGAAACCTTGTCTTTGAAAGATACCTAAAAGGAACGAAGTTGATTCTAGGCTTCACATTCTAAAACAAATGGGAAGTAATTTCAATTTCATTAAAATAAAGTACAGACACAGAAATTACACCATGATTTGTGGCTTGGCATTATGTCAGTATCTCAGTATTGCTTAACAGATGGCTGTGTGGGGATAGGCTTAAGATAACAATTATTTTAAAAAAGAAAAAAAAAAACTAAACCAAACAAAAACTGAAAAACACCAATTATTTGGCAATGTTCCCAATCTCTTCGGATTACAGAAGGAGTCTTATTCACTTCTGTAGTGTGATCACTACATTATAGATGGCCATTCCAAAAGAATATTAATCTATTCCCTTTTTCTAATTCCTCTTCCTAGAGAAGTCAAAAACTTGCAGAAAGAAGGGCGTGGCCAGGTTCCAAAGATGAAAGGTACAGTATATTGGAAGAACTGTTTATGGAAAGAAGGTACAAGGAGATAAAAGAAATAGATACCAGAAAAAGGACAGACAAGCTGGAAGAGATGATCAGATTTCCACATTGACAGGGGTAATGGAAATAACTGTCAAACAGAGCCCTGGATTCCACTATTTACTTTATAATTCATTAACTCTGGTACCACAGGTCTCAGTTTCTTCATGTAAAAACAGAGGGTGGACTAGATTAGCTCTAATCTAGAGATTCAGACCTAAAATAATCCTTTTGCTACAGGGTCTACAGTTAGAGTTTTGGGTAGGAAAAAACAAGCCCTCATTCAGTTCAGAGTCCCAAGGTTGAGGAACAATAGCACTCCCTCGCATAGCACTGTTTTCTTTTCTACTGGTGACTTCTTCAAATGGTTTCAATTCTTTTAAATGGTTGTTCCTTTTCTAATTTGTTCTAGATAAATTGGTAAAATCACTGTAAGAAGCCAAGGGCATGGGGGCAAAAGGACTACAAATGGGGATCTACTGTTAATTCAGTGTTTAACAGTAAAAAAATCCCAAACATATGGCTGTGGGAAATTTCAAAATCCCAGCATCCACTCAGCAGAAAAGGAGCTAGAGGGTCCAAGACCAGCCAGCCAGCCAAAGGACATCAGCAACACTCAAGTTATAACACACAGGCATATTGGGAGACAGTAAAAGAGTGAATCTGGTTGCAGGGCAAGGGAAAAAGGCAAAAAATAATACACTGGAAGTTCTCATAAGTACCACCCCCAATGAAGGCAGGTAACACCGCTTACCCAGAAGTCTCCTCCAAACTTACTAACAGACCTAGAAGGAATCATGACCCCTGTAGATCATCCATATTTGAAAAAAGTACAGAATATGACCTTGCTAGAGTTTGAAAGAGGATGTAAGGGGCAAAACACACCATCCTGTCAGCTTATTCCAAGAACCGCCCTCAAGGTTAGCCCTCACAGAGAACCTTTTCCTAAGAGAAAACTGGGGAAGGAAAGTAAGGTTGAGTCTAAAAAGTACTCTTCTGGGACAGAATATTTGACAGTGGCAGAGCAAACAAAACGCTGGGTGGTGTGGGATGTGAAATGAAAAGGCTCAGAGGAACCTATGTCCTGCTCTCCCTTCTCCGCTCAACACACCCCAGGAACTAATGGGAATGTGAGGAAATGAAAGGGCTTTGTCGTCTAAAAGCAAATTAGTCATTTCTCTTTTGGCTTTTAATTGAACATACAAGACTATCCAAGGACTAAGAACAAGTCCACTGGGCTAGATTTTATACTCAACAATAACCATAACACACTTTAAGTGCATCATCTGAGAGTGATAACATGAGCTCACTCCTGGAGCCACATTAGGAATGTGGAAATAAGAGGCTATCTTGTTTTCCAAACTCTACTCCCCAAATGTTAAGAAAATGTTCTGGGAAAAGCAGTACTGCATGTGGATTGTACCCCAGGAGGCCACTGGAATCATGAATTAATTCACTTTGCAACTGGAGGATTCAATTTGAATTATTATAGCCAGATCTGAAATCTCATTGCCTTTGTTTGGTCTCCCATGCACTAATACAGCAATCAGATTCTGAATAGAACAAAGGAAAAAGAATCAAATGAATGAGACTTATTTAAGGTTCTGGGAGACTTTGCTTAAGTTATATAGCAACTATTTCAAAGCTGAGAAAGGAGATCAAGTTAGAATGGAAACTGAGGATTGTGTTTGAAAATCTAACTATAAACCAGAGTCTTTCTCCTGCCTGTGATTACATTTACATACTGAAAATAAACTAATCTGATGGAGATTCCAAGTCTGAGGTTTCTGGGTGTTTTTTGGGGGTAGGAGGGGTAATATACCTTTTATATTTACATCTGAACCAAACAAGGACGAAAAAGTCCATAGATATGTCTGAACAATTGAAACTGTAGTAGTCAAAGGGGCTTCAATGGCATGAATCCAAGTTTCTTCCCTTTTGCTTGTATTGGTCATGTTTCAATTCCCTGCCATGTGTTTGGGATTAATAAAACCTTCCTTAATTCAATGGGGCTGCTATGAAGATGAAATTTTAAAAAACATGTGTGAAAGTCCTTTGTAAACTTTAAGCTATGAAGATGTATTATTTATATTATTATTGCAATTAGAAACATCATGGACATGTAACAGCATGTTCTCACAGAAACAAATATGGCAGCAGAGGTAGGTCTTCTTTATGAGAAAATTGTACCTTTAATTCTAGGTTATAGGCAATATGTTTAGTTGTTATATAAAAGTTTTGAGAAGTGATTTAGCCATCTTTTAGTTTTAAAGGCATAGGAGAAAAAACACAATAAATTATAAATTTAGCATTTAACCCTCAGATGTACAACTAAGGATCTAAAGATTTCAGATATTTTGGGAAAGAATAGTGTTGCAAAAGCAATTCTACACAGGATGTTGTAAAAAAAGTACAAGTGAACTTCAAGTCATCCACTTTAACAGAAGTCAGGGACAGCTGAATAGCTGGACAGCCTCAGGTGAATCAAGGCTTTTATTATAGACAGTAGCTACAAACAACTCCTAACTTTTGTGCCAAATGGCTTATACATGTTAAAATTATCCAGGATTATGGCTTCATTTTCTGTCCCTAAGTATTTACGCCTTCCAAAGTAAAGCTGTAATAAGCAGCGATCTGGCCATAGGTGAGAAAGAGGATGAAGTAAAGGGCTTAGATAATTCAAAAGCACATAGTCACCATCTGAACCAGTAAAGGCTGGGAGTGGTATGAAAATACATAACCAAGAAAGGTCACTTTAAATTACTAGTAATTTTCTGATGCTCAAATTGATTCCCTTTTTTCCAGGCCATTTGAAATGAACTTGTACTCTACAATAAATAAACAGCATGCATTTTTCAGTGCATCCTCTTCAAAGCTGTGTTCCATATACATTAACAATATCTATAATTAAATATCACCAATAATAATTCTATTTCTACTAACCTCTGAGGACTACCTGTAAGATTCAAAATTGATTTAGTTTTCTATCTCTGAAAGGCAGAAAATTAGGGCTGCAGAATATGGTGCTTCTAGCATCACATTAACCACAAAAAATACCAAAGTAACAAAATCATCAAGTGTTAAGGGGAAAATGAAATTTGTGATTTTTGAATTACTACATCCTATCATTCACCCAATCCCTCAACACAAGAGAACCACATATGTACTTAAGACAAATGTGGACAGTAAATCCTAAACAATCTGTCCTACTGAAAAATGCTGATTAATGGCAGATCTGATAACCTACCTAATTCCTATGTTAAATGTTCTTTCTACCATACTGCACTAGTTGTAGCAACTCAGCAGCATTTTTAGTGTATAAAAAAAGCTAAGCAAAACAAAACAAAAAAGGAAGTATTTAAAATGGTATCATTTGAAGGGAAGAGTAATGTGGTCTTAAATGCCTTTAGCTTTCTCTGATAGGTCATCAGTGTCTTATATTTATAAAAAATGTGTGTAATATATTTTTATAATACAAAAGAGCTAATAATTCAATTTGGGGATGTTAGGACTGAAGGCTGGGAACAGCACAATTCATATTTTGTTCTGCCTGTACTTAGGCAGAAATAATACTTCACAGAGGTTGTGAATGTGAAATAATGGGTCAGAAAACATTCATATTGATGTCATTTTCTGTAAAAGTAAAGTGATGCAAAAGCAGACGTGGCATGTATGAATTATGTCCATTAAACCAAAAAAGTTTTTGATAAATGTAACTCAAACTAGAACTGGCACTGGGGGGTTGGTAACTGGGAATTTAACTTCCACCGAGTTATACCCTCCTTTCTTTAAAAAAAAAAAATATTTTAAACAAGCTCTCACTTGGTTGCTAAGGATGGCCTTGAACTCAGAATCCTGCTTCAGCATCCCAAGTCCCAGGGATTACAGGCATGTGCCACCATACCTTGCTAAACATGAATATTTTTTATAAATACCTTAAAAATATGAGTATTTCTGAAAAGTGACCAGGGCCAAATGTACATATTGATTTTTTTCTCCTTTTCAGTAAAGGAAAAACTATATTTTGTAGACAGGTTCCTTTTCTGGACATAAGTAAATCAAAGAGGTCCAAACTGGATGATCACTAAGATTCCTTCTAGTTTTCAAATGAAGTAAACACTGCACAAAAGTATTCAGGTCTTTAAAATTATCTATGATGAGAAAAGGACAATTAATGGGAAGAAGGGAAGGATGGCTCCTTAACTCATATAAATTAACACTCACCAGAGTGAGTCATTAATGTCATAAACAAAACTCAAATCTCTGGTTAATGTCATTCAAAGGTTTCAAATTCTCCTTTCATAAATGAAACACCACAATATATTCTGTCTGACTCTTTGCAGGAGACCTCAAAATATAATTATTAACACAAATTCTAATGCTATTAGTTGAACCTATATAAATAATAACTTTTTTAAGTCTATAAAAAATTATTCAATTTTCAACTTAGACTATCTGAAATTAAACACTATGTTGATTCTTTTACCTTCTGTAGGGTGAATGGCATCCAAGTAGAGTTGCTTGTTTGACCATTTATCCCCACTTCCTAAAAACAATGATAGAAAAAAATGTGAAATTGTATTCCTAATATGGATATAAATACTATAAAAATAAGGTTATGTACAAAGTAACTTAAATATGAAACACCATAAAAATAAAATGGAATTTTATTTCAATTATTTTGTTCTCAAATTGTATTTTCCAACTAAACTAATGAAGCTATGGCTGGAGGCTACACAGGAAATGGATAAACAAAATTTGTCTTTTGTGAAATACACTGTTGAGTAATTTCTTTGACTTTAATACACAAAATTTGAAGATCAGTAAAGGGTATGACAATTTTACCTGGAAAATAAAGTTTCTTCACTGGAAGCAAATGAAAAAAAATATATACATAAATACACAAAACAAACAAAAAAGAGGCTGAGTAGAGGTGAAAGCCCACATTTAGTAAGAGGATGTTACACACAGGCACACACAGGCGCATTCGCCTACACAGAAGACAGCTGCTAGTGAGAGCCTCACTCAGGAAGCACAGAGTGCTTCACATCTGGCCATGCAAGTAGGATGCGAGTGTGCATCAAATGAGTCGATTTATGGCTTGACACTGACATGCAGGCAGACACTAAAGCCCAACCTCCAGGACTTGTGGCTATACTGAGCCAGATGGGAAGATTTATCTTTTAGGTGAAGAAGGAGTCCTGAACTCCAAGAAAGAGATCTTGAGATGAGTCCTGAAGAGGTTCAGGGGCCCATCAAGATCATAACAATGAGATAGATGTTCAGAGGAGAGGAGGGGTGGAGTACATTAAGGGCCCTCTGGAAATAACAGTTATGTGACTGTAGGAGTGGGGAGAAGGGTTCAGCCAACATTGAAGTACACAGAGGAGGAAAAGAGGCAAGTTAGAACTTAGGAGTGGAGAAAAAATGTCCATGGCAATCCCCAACAGTGGGACTTTGACATGAATATGAAGATTTCAGGAAGCAGAAAAATGTGGTTATGGTGTGAAGGGCTGCCAGACATGGGTGGGGGGGAAAGAAGAGCCAAAGAAATGAATAGACAGGAGGTCAAAAAGACTAAATTACAAAAGGTACCAAATGTAGATGAGAAGAATAAATTTTAAAATTCATATGGAACTCTGTACAAAAAAACAAATATGGATTTGAGTAGCAATCCAAGGGATGGAAGTTTATAATTAGCTGCAGAGTCTAGAAAGAACAAAAATGCCCAGCCAGGAGCTGATGACACTGAGGCAAGCACAGGGGAGAAAAAGGCAAAGGAGGTGCACGCGGAAGCTTTACTCAAGATGAGCTGGCAATGGAGGCGATCAAGAAACCTTAATGGAGGATGGAAGGCACCAATACCTTTTTCTGGAACATTAGGCTTCTCCTTTTTGTGCTTATATTTGCTGACAATTTTGTGGAATAAGTTCTTTTTCTGAGACTGGAAAGGACCTACAGACAATATTAATATGAATATATTTTAAATTTGCAATGCTTTACAAAACAATATTGTGTGTTTTAAAACAATTACACCCTCCTCCCTCCTGTGGAAAGAGTAAATCCAGTTGCAAGAAACATCATCTTGCGTCTCCACTCATCTTGGGACTCTGCCCTTTTCTTTAGGCTTGTGTAAAACCCAGTGAGATTTTCCTTGGAAAGTATTGGGCAGAAGCCTCCATTAGGGCTGGAACTTTCTAGGCAGAAACTGCAGATTAAGTGGGTGGAAACGGATTGCAACCAGTACCAGAAGCATGGTGATGGTCTATTACAGAGCAAAGGTTCCACTTTAGATGCCAATGCCATGAAGGAAAGAATGGCCATGTGGATTTCATCGCCTAAGAGAACTGACTTTCACAAGGACAGCACCTTCAGGATGACAGCTGACCTGAGAGCATTAGGTAGCTTTCTGCTCTTTTTGGAGGCTACTCTAGGAAGAAAAAAGTGATTTAAAAACAGAAAGATATTTGGAAAACCAGCAAAACAAAACAAAACTTTGATGTGCTCTCCTTCTGGCAGGAGGTGAACTAACTATGTGCCTGCCTAGTCACTTCTACCCTCCCTCTCTAGTGGGTCATTCCACCAGTATACAAACGTATGTTATTTGTCCCAAATTTTAAAAAAAGTTCTCCCAAACTTCCCTCAGTCTCCTCAGAGGACTGCCTTTGCTGTCTCTAAATTCTCTCCTTCGGTTTTGTCTTAAACTCACTATAACCAGGCTTTCACCCAGCCACTCATGAAAATCTGCTGCATGAAGGCCAACAGCTGAGGCTCATGGTGCTCATGCATCTTCCAATCTAGCTGTTCCCTCCAGGTCCACCTTCTGCCTTCAATGCTTCCTTCACCTGGATTCCAGGACACAGCTGTTTTGCTTTCTCTCTTCCCTCATTGATCTTTCCCTCTTGTCTCTTCTGCATCTTCCTTTCCCCAGATGTTTTAGGTTTGGAAAGCCCTGGACTCTAAAGTGATTCTTGTCCTCTTCCCTATTGATTCGCCTTCCTTTGGTGATTACTTTTGGTCTCAGGGCTTTAAATACCAGCTCACAGATGCATCACCTCAGCACGATGCTGTGTATTTGAAAAGCCAGCCACCTTACAAATTTTCATTGTATCTGTAAGCTCACATCCTGCTTCACTTCTCTCTAGCAGAGTAGCCTCCTTGGCTACTCCCTGCACATACAAAGTCTTTCTCTTGCTAGTAGGATCTTTATGTTGGCTGTCAGCTCTGCCTAGAAAATGTTCTTCCAACTTCCTCACCACCTTCAAGGTTTTGCTCAAGTATCACCAGACCACCCGTTGCAAAACTGCAACCCCACCCCATTCCCATCCCTTGTGATCTGCCTTTCCTTCACAAAATTATCATTAAGCTGATTAAAAACAAAAAAGTTCTACTGAAATATACTTCACATATAAAACAGTTCACTCACTTAAGGTATATAATTCAATGTTTTTGATATTCAGAGATACGTGCAAACATCCCCAAATTTTAGAATATTTCATCACCTCAAAAATAAACCACACATCTTTTAGTTATCACTTCTCCTGTACTTGCAATTCCCCTCTCCCCAAGCAATCACTAATATTCTGTTATAGAAACTTCATATAAACTGAACCACATAATAAAGTCCTTTTTGATTGGCTTAGGATTTAGCAGAATGTTTTATAGTCTTATCTATGCTATATGTAGTCAGTATAAGAAGAATAGTATTTCATTGTACGGATATAATACATCTTGTTTATTCATTTAGCAGGTGATGGATATTTATATCAATTGTTTATTTTTGTGAATATTGCTGTTATAAACATTCATGTACAAGTTTTTGTTTAGATGTATGTGTTTGTTTCTCTTGGGCATACACCTAGGAGTAGAATTACAGGGTCAATAAGAACTTTTATGTTTAACCTTTTAAAGAACTGCCAAGAAGCAGCTGCACCATTTTATATTCCCACTTGCAGTATATAAATATATATAACAATTTTTCCACATTTATTATTATCTGTCTTTTTGAGTATGGTCATTCTAAGGTTGTGGAAATGATACCTTTCTCACTGTGTAGATTAGTTTGGGGGAATGTTTCTATCTAACATTAAGTCCTACAATCTATGAACGTGGGATATTTTCCCATTTATATTATTTTTCTTTCTACAATGTTTTGTAGTTTTCATTATATTGCACTTCTTTTGTTAAATTTATTCCTAAGTACTTTATTCTTTTTGGTGCTATTGTAAATGGAACTGTTTTCTTATTTCATTTTTGGGTTGTTCATTGGAAGTATATGAAAATATAATTAATTTTGTATGATTTTGTATCCTGTAACCCTACTAAACTCATTTGGGTATTTTAGTAGATTTCTTAGGGTTTTCTATATTCAAGTTCATGTCAGTTAAGTTTTACTTCTTTCTTTTCAGTCTTGATGGTTTTTGTTTCTTCTTACCTAACTACTGCCTAGAACACAGTACTATGTTGATAGAAGTGGTGAGAGTGAACATACTTGTCCTGTTTCTGAATGTCAGGATCAGGGAACGTGTCTGATTTTTCACCATTAAGTATAATGTTATCTGGGCTGGGGATGTGGCTCAAGCAGTAGCGCGCTCGCCTGGCATGCGTGCGGCCCAGGTTTGATCCTCGGCACCACATACAAACAAAGATGTTGTGTCTGCTGAAAACTAAAAAATAAATATTAAAATTCTCTCTCTCTCTCTCTCTCACTCTTCAAAAAAAAAAAAAAGTATAATGTTATCTATGTGTTGTTTGTAGATGCCCTATCAGGGTGAGGGAATTCCTTTCTGTTCCAGGTTTGAGGTCTTTGTTATGAAAAAGTACTAAATTTTGTCAAATGCTTTCTCTATTGAGATGATCATGTGATTTTGGCTTTCAGTCTGTTGACAATGTTACATGAACTGATTTTGGGGTGTTAAACCAACCTTACAATCCTGGGATAAAATCTCACATAACCACAGTGTGTAATTCTTTGATTTCTTAGCATTTAGTTAAGGAATTTTTGTGCTCCTTATTACCCAGGATATTGGCCTGTAGTTTTCATTTCTTTGTCTAGTTTGACATTGGAATGAGTCCCAAAGTAAACTGGGGAGTGTTCACTCTTCTATTTTTTTTTTGGATTCATTTATGAAGATCTGGTACTAATTCTTTCTTTAAAAGTTTGGTACAATCTGGTGGTAAAGCCATCTGAACCTGGATTTTTTTTTTTTTTTTTGGACTCCTTAGACATATTTCCAACCCTTTAGGCTAATTCAATCTCTTTAATTGTTATAGGTCTGTTCAGATTGTCTGTATCTTAAGTTGGTTTCAGTAGTTTTTGTCTTTCTTGGAATTGTTTGTTTTATCTAGGTTATCTAATTTACTGATATAAAATTGTTCATAGTCCTCTAATGCTTCTCCTTTCTGTAAAACCGATAGTAATGTCCTCTATTCCATTTCTAATTTGAATATTCTCCTTTTTTGCTGGTTACAATTGAGCTAAATGCTTCTTAACTTTGTTGTTCTTTACAGGAAACTAATTTTTGGTCATTGATTTTGTTTTTCTATTCTTTATTTATTTCATTTAACTTTGTTAATTTCCTCTCTAATCTTTATTATTCCCTTTCCATCTGCTTTTTTATTTAAAAACATATTTTTAATTGTAGATGGACATAATAACTTTATTTATTTTTATGTGGTGCTGAGGATCAAATCCAGTGCCTCACATGTGCTAGGCAAGACCTCTACCCCTGAGCCACAACCCTAGTCCCTTCATTCTGCTTTCTTTTAGTTTAAGTTTGTTCTTCTTTTTCCAATGTCTTAATGTGAAAGGCAGGGCAGTTATTGATCTGACATCTTCTTTCTTAGCTTAGGCATTTAGAGCTCTCTGAACATTACTGTAGCTATATCCCTCAAGTTTTGATATGTGTTCTTCATTTCTACTCACCTCAGAGTTCCTTATGATTTACCTTTTGAATTCTTCTTTAACATTGGTAATCTAGGAGTGTGTTGTTTAGCTTTGATGCATTTATGAGTTTCCCAAGTTTTCTCTTACTATTGATTTTTAAATTTATTCCACTGTGGTCCAACAATATGTGTTGTATTATTTTAATCATTTTAAATATATCAGTTTGCAAAGCATATTCTTGAGATTATTCCATGTTTACTTGAGAAATATGTTCACTTTGCTATTGTTGGATAGTGTTTCATATGTGTCTGTTAGTTCTGGATAGTTTATAGCACTGCTCAAGTCTTTTCTTCCCTTGTTGGTCTTTGGCCTAGCTGCTTTGTCAACCTATTCTTTTTTTCCAAACCACTTCTCACCTCTACACACATAATAACTTTGCTTACTTTGGGTTCATTTATGGTCTGAAAACCCCAATAAAATTTAACCTCCACAGCAGCAGTTCTTTGCTTTCATTCACAGATATAACCTAAGTGCCTAAAATAGTGCTTAGTGCATGACAGGTTCTCAGTAAATATTTGTTTCACAAGAAGTAAATAAAGTTCTGAGAGCAATGCTTGGCACAAAGTGTGCAAGAAATGACATCTGTTGCTGTTATTACTGACACCATAAATCTGTGTAAGTGTTTTTTTGATGAACACACCAAGACATCCCTCTAAATAACCCATAGAAACACTTCTGAATTGTCTATTGCTGGTTTGAAATGGAAATAGAAAAGGCACTCGTTTGATTCTTTGAGAAAAAGTGAGCAATAAAAGAAAATAAATTGAAGGTAGTATGAAAAAAAGGTCATATATACATGCTATATTATAGGTGTTCTATATAATCTGTTTGCAATCACTGCCTCCTATATTTCATAAAACCCAGGAAACTGCAGGCTGGTACACCCGACTGATATGTTGGCAAACACAGAAAACAAAAGCAGAAAGACAGTTCTGAATCTCTTCAGGATCACAAAGACCCTAGTAGATTTACCTGGAGGAAAATAAATTAATAATGATAATATATTGGT